AATATGTTTTTTAACAGATTCTGGTGCAAATGCTTTATTTTTTTGATGGATTTGTTTCTGTTTTCTGGAACAGATCAGACGAGTAGTTAGAAGATTCCAACTTTACAACGGTCCTTGAACTCGTCACCAGGTCTGACTCTTTCTGTTTTTACAGTCTCTGGATGGTAAAGGGCGTCATTATGGACATTTTGAACGTTAACGTGCTTTTCAGAAGGTGTTTTTTAGGGTTCAGAGGGTTAAAATGTGCTGCATAAATAAACCTGACTTCTAGTTTAGGGATGAACTAAATGCAGTCCTCGGTCACAAACAAACAAACTAAACTCCACTCGGTTTGTGGCAGAACGTCGGCCCGCTAAACGTCCATTAAAGCCCAGAGCTGCAGTTCTGTGGTCGGCAGGTGAGCGAGACGTAATAATCTCTGCCGGAGTCGTCTTTGTCTGTAACTGATTAAAAACATCCAGGAGGAAACGCCGGCTCCGTCCGGTTCGTTTCACCTCCTCGACCCGACATTTCAGAGCGAGCGGCGCCGCATTAAAGCTCGTGTGTGTTCTGTCCGTCCACATTTACATGCACGTCTGAGCGGGATTCTGCTGTCAGCGGCCGGACGGGCGCTAAGTGAAATATCAATTTCATCCAGAGTCCAATCACGAATTTGCATATTCACGCTGCTGCGAGTGGCATTAAAGCAGCCTGGCAGCGAGGAGCGCACGTCTGCGGCGTCGGATGTCTGATTAAATGGCAGCGAGGAGGTTCGTCCTCGCTGTTAATTTCTTTTTTGTCGTGCAGCGACTCTTGTGTGATGCTGTTTCGACCGAACAAAATCCTGCACAGAGATATTTCCTGAATGCAAACGAGTCCACTCGAGCCGTAATGATGCTCCACTTAACCGGCGCCGGACTGTAACCGGACATTTAGTCAAGTGCTTTGGTTCTGATTTGAGGCTCGTCAGTTTTCACCTGCAGCACAACCTGAACACCTGCTGATAAAGTGGAACGACACACGAAAACAACGAGGTCATTTATGGATTATTCTGCTGTGTGACTGAAGAGCTGCTCGACAAGCTGCAGCCGTCCGACATCGTAACGCTGTGAACGACTGAAGGGGATGATTTTAGGTGGAACACAGTTTTGCTAAAAGAAAACAGCAACCAAACAACATTTCTGTCTTGTCTGAAAACAGAAAACCACAGGGATCCTAACCAAGTCTTAAAAAGACGTTTGATTCTTTCATCTAAAAATAAAGTTTTAAACCTCTGAACCCAGAATTTTGCCGACGGGTCTTTTGAAATAAAAAAAAGAAAAGTTAAAAATACCATCATTTAGAGACCATCTGGAAACCGTAGAATAGAAAGAACAATCAGATTTCCAACTTTCCGACAGTCCTTGAATGTAGAACGTCAGGAAAATGAAACCAAACTCAAAATTATCTCATCAAAATCAGTTTCTTCCAAGTTTTATTCCAGAAAATTGGGGAGAATAAATGAAGCGTTTGCACCAGAACCCGACCGACCAACAGGGAACCATGGAGATATCTGAGATGGTTCTGAAAGTGCTGGTAGAGGAGGAACGTTTAAAGTCAGTTCTGTGTTTAACAGAACTGAATGAACTCGTCATGTCGTCAGAAGATGGCGCTGTCGGCTACGCGGCCGTAAACAGAGTGGAAGACGTCGGAAACCAAACCAGATGTTTGATAACCAGAATGGTTGTGTATCTACAAGACGAAATCTGGGAGAAGGAATCGATTTCAATCATTAAAGTTGGAATCATTTGTTCATGTCAGCTGGTGTCGGCCATTTTTAACGCTGTCCAGAAACGGCTAACGAGTCCGGTGGCTTAAACATTCGCTACGTATTCAGGAAATCTTTCTTTATCCCGTAAAGCTCGTTTTAGAAAAAAGCCAAACATCATCTTAAGTGAGCGTCCAAATGTTTAAATAAAACTTTGGACGTTTTTTCTTAAATTTGCCGTTTCCACAAACTTTTTCTAGCAAATTTCAAAGCCGGCCCGCCAACAGACACCAGGCATCTCCCGGTTCTGTTCGGTTCTTCCCTGATCTCCACCACATCTGTGACATCAGAACAAGCAGCAACAGACCTTCAACGTTTAGGCTGTTCTTGTACGTCTAGCAGAGCTCCTCTGGTTTCCATAATGACACAAGAACCAATCAGGCAGCAGGAGACTTATTCCACCGAAACCACCCGAAAGTTCTGACAATAAAACCCCTAAATTAGGAAGTTTGGATCAGCCAGAACATCTCAGATCAGCTCGAAACAACACATTTGTTCCATAGCTCCAAGTAATCTATGCTGTTTTTGGGTTTACTCTTGGTTATTGTTAAGTTTCACCTTCATTAAGACCTTCAAACCGGACTCATCTTCAGCTGTAGAAGCCCTGAACTAGCAGTTACTACCACTAACTAGCAGTAACTATCAGTAACTAACACTAACTAGCAGTAATTAGCAGTAACTACCACTAACTACCAGTAACTGGACGTCGTGTTTGCTGTGGAGACTCACCAGGTGGTGATCAGGTACTGGGCCAGGTTGATGGCGATCGGCGTTCCCGTGATGGTGACGTGGCGGTCGCTGGTGCTGTCGATCTGACTGCCAATCTTGATCTGAGCCCCCGACACCTGCCGGATCTCGTTGATCTTGGTTCCCTGGCGACCGATGATGGAGCCAATCAGCTGCGAGGAGTAATATTGGACATGTAGATCAAACAAACTGATTATGGGTGAGTTGAAATATGACAAAAAGCTGAAGCCGTCATGAAAAGCCCCGTCTTAGAGCACAAATGAACAAAAAATCTGATGACGCAGCTGTAAACTAGTGATATTTTCTGAACCACGTGTAGCTGAAGGTCAAAACTAAACATGTAGAATACTTAAGATGAGATACTTGGTCACAAAGATGGAAAAACTATTTCAGTTGAGCAGGTTGGCAAGTTAAACCACAATAAAAATATAGTTGGACAGTCTGATCAAAGTAGAGTTTAAAAAGCTTCTTCAAATATTAAAGTCTGTTTTTATTGTGGGGATATTTTTCGTTTTCAGATTACACTTTTTTTGTTTCTTTTTTCATCAATGTGAACTACTCATGTGAATTATTCTATCTGCTTGACCGATAATGTAGAAAAATGACCTGTGGAGTTCCCCAAGGCTCCATCCTGGGGCCTCTTCTGTTCTGTATCTATGTGTGAGGATTTTTACATAAAGTTTTCTCAGAAAGTATTAAACATTTGAAGCTAAAATGTCCCAGGTAGCATTTTAAATAGTCAGAGTTTATTATGATAAAGTTTCAAGTAAATCAGAGCTGGTCGAGCAGAAGGAACCCGGATGTTTTGAGACAGAATGAAACGTATATTTTGCTGATTTTCCTGCAGCCTCCTCGCTGTTTCTATGTTTATGTTCCAGCCTCCATCTTGTTTTTTTTCTGGTGGGAAGACGAGGCAGCAACAGGTGCTGAACTCTGACTCATCTGCTCAGCGAAGGTCTAAACTGGGCGTCAGTCATGCAGGAGGTAACAATAGACGGATCACCGCTGCCTTACCTTCCTGTCAGCTCGCACGGTAAATACGTCTCATTAGCTTTTTTTTTATGAAGGCAGATATGTGTTGTCGAGCTGCCATGAGGCTGAAACGTCTCACCGCTGTCAAGGCTGCATGTGGAGCTAAATTTAAAAAAAACCTGATGATATACTGGCGCATTATTCACCCTGTGTTTGTGTACAGAAGGCCGAAGTTCTCAGTAAAGAATAACTGACCATGAATGACAAGAAAAGAGCTCAAAGAGGCAACGTTTGGATTCATATCATCAGGAGAAGATCACATAGTTTGATATAATGAACGAGGATTCAGACCAAACAAACAGTTTTAACGGCATATTTGCTTGTGATTTCTTTCTCGGCTCTTTAAAGCGATGCTAAAAACAGAGCAGGTCCTGCGTATTTACAGGATTTACGTGTTCTAGGAGGAGGTGACAGCGGAGGTAATGAGGAATAATCTCAGACAGCCTGTAAATTTAATCCAATTAAACAATAAAAGCAACAGTATATGTTGGTTCTGATCCCCGTGAGGGGAACTCAGCACACGGACGGCTAATTAGCGCTCAGCTCGGCTCATTAGTTTGTAATTTCTCACATTACGGGACTTAATATTAAATAACTTCATCATTTATTTACAGTTTATTCAGTTTTTTTTAAATATTAGACACGATAATGGAGCGAAACTTCCAGAGTGATGTGATTCATTTCAACTTGTTGCACTTTTTTCTTGCGATCAAAACAAACAAAAACCAGATTTTGTGGATTTCAGGTTTAAAAAAAAAAACAAAAAACGTCAAGAATCAGACGGACTGATTCGTTTGAAACGTCTTCGCCAGAAACCGGGACGGATATAAATGGTCTCAAATGCTTCAGTTTCTTGTAAAGGAGGATCTTTGTTTCAGTATCGTTCCTTCGTTGCAGCGTCTTTCTCGGCTTCAGTTGTTGGTCGGCATCTAATTTATACAATTCAGAAAAATGTGAAAGCGTCTGAAAGCCTCTTGGATGGATGAAGGTGAAACATGATCAAGAACAGAAAAGAAAAAAGGTTTTAGAATTAGTAGAAGCTCAAAGAACGTTCCTTTTAGTTCAGAGAAGAACGTCTACCAATTAAATAATGAATTTATTTTATTTCTAAAACGTTTTTTTCATTCCCTTCTTGAACAGTCCAGTCGATATTAACGCATGTTTCAGAGGCTGGTTTTACGTTTTGACAGAACTGTGAGCCAATGACTCCCGACATGCGTCTGTAAACGAGAAATACGGATTATTTAGGAACACATTGACACTGTCTGATATTTTTAGGAGGTTATAAAAGTTATTCTGCGATAATAATGATGATAATATAGTAGAGAGTCCAAAGGGGAACCCGACGAAACAGTTCAGGCGTTTAAAAACTTCTGCTGCAGCGGCTCCTCAAGGATTTCTCACAATTCTGTTTTTACAAGTTATTACGAGCTGTCGTATTGTTCCTCCATGTGAACGGGCAGGTTGGCTTTAAAACAGCTAAAAACTAGAATAAACCCCAAACAACACACTTCATTTCCAATCAACACTGAATTCAACAGAAATAGAAGCACAAATAAAACATCTCTAAATACTCTAAAACATCTAAAAAAAACTCTCCATAAACCTCACAAGAAGAGCAAAAGCTACGACTAGCTATACATCAATCTGTATATTTAATCAGACAGGCAGTAAAGAACCCCAAAAGCTTCTTGAGCTTCTACCAGCTGCTTTTTACTGAACTGTTGTGCAGCATCCGACCACTAGGGGGCGCTTATCAAAAAATGCATTTTTCCTAAATTAGCAAATTTGCGAATCCCAGACAACTTGTTTTTGTTTCGTCGACACAAGAGTCAGAGTCAGACCTTTAAGTCTTATCTCCTCATGACCCACATGTTCCTCTTTTCAGACCATCAGATTTTTTTGGACTCTTTATCTTCGTCTCTCCAACGCTTCTTTCCCGGCAGTCATCCGACCGGCCGGTTATTCTGGGAAGGCCTGAGATAATTTGGGTCTGGTATCTGTAATGACGCCGAGGGGAGCCGGAGTGACGGCAGACAACAGCCAGGTCACGACTGTTTGAGAGGAATGAACATCGAGCCTCCCTGAAGGTCCGTCAGAGTTGGTGTTCCCTCCGTCTGCTGCACAGCGAGAAGCCGGATTCACCGTTTGGTACGACGCCGGCGTGAAGGTCGCGGTGTTTACGGAAGTGTTGAACATTCAGCCGAGTCTGACTGGACGTCACTCTCAAACATCAAGAAATGTTAAAATCAGAAACGTATAAAAGGATAAAGTAGATGTCACTGTCCAGATAAAACAGCTTGAACGGATCTAAAACACGACAAAAAACAAAGACAAAAATGTTGACGTTTTATGATGTTAACGCCACCGACGGACACGACGACAACAAAAGCGTCTCATCCTGGATAAACGGCAGCAGGTCGACCGACGATCCGAGCAGAGACGTTCCGGCTGCAAAACTTTAAATGTGTAAACATGGTAAAAGATTCATAAGAGTCCCGCGGCGCCTGCAGCTTTAGAGGCTAACCCTGCTAGCATGCTACGAGACCAGAGGAGCCTTCATCAGTCCCACAGCGGGGAGGTCCAAGAGCTGCAGCAGCACAAGGAAGAGTGCAAAAAAATAAAACCAGTAGAGATGAAAAATCAACAAGAAAGTGCTGCTGATGTGGTTTTTGTGAATGCAGAAATCCAAGATGTTGAGCCTGAATGAGGAACCACCAGGGGTCAGGCTATACGTGGAAACAATGGACGCTGCAGCTTCTTCTAAATCCACTAAATATTCATAATGCACAGTTTGAATACGCTGATGCTGCACCAGAGCGGAAACGACTGTTTTTCTACGGTTGGTAGAGAACTGGTGACAAAACGTTCCAGGAGGCGTCAACATAAAGACGTAGACGTAAAGATTGTAATCGTCTGGTACCAGAATATGAGTTTACAAACTTCGTAATGCCTGCTTACGGAGCAACGCCACTATTTACCGATGTTCCCTAAACGCCTCATGCAACGACAGTCCAAGGTAACTGAAAAAAATATGAAAATAAAACGTTCTGGTGTCACATTAACTCGAGTGAGATTTGTTTCATCTACTCAGACTGTTTTCTACGTGTGGAGCTTTTTAAACGTGGAGAAATTTAAACACTAGAAAAATCGAGCTTCTGTTTTATGATCGACTGTTTCTTTATAATTAATTACAGCTTCTGTCTCATCATTTGTTCGACTAAGGCGGACGTTTTAGTCGAGGGCATGTCTTCCTCACTCGGTTTGTTTTGGTTCTCGTTGTGTTTTTGTGGATTTAAAATGTCGGATCTCAAACTGATCGTAAATCAAACAAAAGTTCAAATATCTGGGCGTCTTTCTGGATCAAAAACTCACATTTTCGTTCCATGTGGACAAACTGGTCTGCAAAGGATGACGGAGAATTTGGTGTTCTTACAGAAACAGCTGTTTTTCCTTCGTCCGCTTCTTGTGCATCATCTACAGCTGCTGGTTCTCAAACGTTTTGGGCCACGACCCCCAAGACAACATCAGTCTGTGTTCGTGACCCATCAAATTGAATTTTTAATATATCATGAGTAATAACTTTCTGTTTGTGCATTAATGCGTTAAAGATGATTCATCTCTTTACATTAACGTGTTAACTTTCTGTTGAATGAATTTATTTTGAACAAATGAAAGAGAAAAAATATAAAAACCAATGAAAATAATTTTAAAAAGCATTAAAAAAGAATAATAATAATATCACATAATCAAATCATAATATTAACAAGTTCAAAAAAGGAGTAGGAAGAAGTATACACCTTTAATTCTGACAGCCCTGATGCACATTTATTTGATAAATGTAGGCTTTACTTTTTTATTTGTCTTTTTTACAAAGATCTGGCGACCCCCTGAAATGATCGTAGGACCCCCATAAGGGTCCCGACCCCCAGTTTGAGAACCACTGCTCTACAGCAACACGTCTGGATTCAGTTCATGTAGTTTTGAGGGTTATTCTGCTTCTTGTACCAAACAGTCTGTAGTAGGAACATCAGACGGGTTTTATTTACAAGGCGCTGAATGTAAAAATGACTCAGATTCCTTTAAACTGCCTCTAAAATCATAATTTAACTCATTCAAG